GGGATCAAGCAAGGAGGGCAGATTCAGATTAGATACTAGGAAAAAAAATCTTCCCTGTGAAGTCTGCTGAGGCCCTGGCAAAGGCTGCCCACAGAAGCTGTGTCTGCCCTATCCTTGGAGGTGTTCAAGGCCAGGTTGGATGGGGCTTGACACAATCTCACCTAGTAGGTGTCCCTGGCCATGGCAGGAGGTTAGAATGAGATGAACTTTAAGGTCTGTTCCAACCCAAACCATTCTGTGATCCTGTGATTTAATTACTGTATACTTAGCTTGTACTCTCTGCTGACCTCCATAATTTTCTAATCCGTTGTTTCTACCTCTTATATATCTTTGGGTTGTGTTTAACCAAAGCTTTAAAGATGTTCAGCAAGGACATGACTTCATTTGACATGACATTCATGTAAGGTTGAAGTGTGTGACAGGTACCTCTTAAAGAAAAGGAAATGCTTCTGGAAGTGCTGACACTGTGGTGATACTAATGGAGAATTCTAATCTGTCATGATGAATCCTGCAGCAGCATTTGAACAGTTTGGTGCAAGTCAGATGATCTTAAATTTACATAGAGCTGAATTAAAGAATAATGTAATAAGGAAGCAGAATGGGTATTAATTATAAAAGCTTATCTATTCCTCTTCCAATTAAAAATAAATAAACATAATAATGTCCTTTTTTTTTGTTACCACAATGAAGAAATGTCTTTCTGCTTATGTTCTTTGGCTTCAATGAGCTCTATAAACTGATGTCTGAATGAGAAAATAAACAGGAAAGTGGAAAGGTCTTTCTATCAAATCTGAAATAACATTGTATTTATGCATATATAAGGGGAAAATAGGCATACAGTGAAATTGATTTATTTTCTGATGAATGGTCTTATTGCAAAGTAATGAGTAAAAAAATAGAAAAACAAGATACTTCTGTGAGACTGAAGAAGACTCCTTAGATGGGAACAGGGTGTCCTTTAGTTTTGAACCATTGGTAATACTGGAAGATATTCTTACATAGGTGTTGTAAGTGATGGCCAAGCATATTGCCTGCCGCTGCAGCATGTTCCATTGCATTTGGTTTATCAATTTCACCCTCCTCCAAGCAGAAATGATCCCAATGAGGGTAAAATTTTGAAAATTTTAGAATTAGATGTTGAAAAATAGGTGCAAGTGAGAGATTTCTGCCTGGTTCCAAGGAGCTTTGGGGGCAGCTGTGCAAAGGTCTCTGGGTTCATGGTGATGGTGGAGGAGACAGGGGAGGTTGAGCATCTTGTGGGGGAACAGCCTTGGACTGTGTGTCCAGGGAGAGAGGGGAGCAGGGAGCAAGCCAAAGGCAACATCTGTGGTCAGATTTAATGCACAAGAGCCAGGAAAGATCCCGGCTGTTCAGCTTCCCTCCAGGAGCTGCACTGGTAATGGAGTTGGAGAAGCTGACATGAAAACAGGCAAGTCATCTACAGTTATTTTATTATTGAATTGTAGCCTCTCACTAATCTCTGCCATGAAAATTTCATTGAAGGAATAGCAGAATGATACATGATACAAAGGATAAAATCCCACTGAAAACAAGAAAGGGAAGCCAGGCTTGTCCTGATAGTAGGAGTGAAGAAACAGACACATACAAGGTTCATGTTCTAGATTAAAGGCAGCAAGACTGATTTTGAGCAGAGACCCATAGGAATTTTGTTGCCTTCCTTCAGAAGAATGTATTCTTCTGATATGGAGTTTTGTCAAAGGAACAAAATGTGATCTATTTCCCCCAGATCTGAGACTGAAATTTTCAGCCTATTTTTTGGCTTTGGAATACTGATATAACTAAACTACAATCAAGTAAAATACATGTGTGTGCATGTTCATGTGCAAATGCATGTTGCTATTATGCTTGGCTGGGTTTCTCACAGCACTGGAAATATGACTGCCCAAGGAAACATTGAATTAAATCACAGAATAATGAAATGGTGTGGGTCAAAACAGACTTAAAAGCTCATCTTTTTCCAGCTGCTTCTACCTTCCACTAGACCAGGTTGCTTCAATCAGTGTCCAGCCTGGGCCCAAGCAGTAAATCCTTCTGATCAATGCAGGAAATACATTAATCTTCTGCTAACATTGTGCTGTCTCTTGTCCAGCTGGTTGTGGGCTAGTAACAGAGACAAAGAAATTGCTGTTGCCTTGCCCAGGTGATTTACCATGGCTTCTCTGCCTCTCATGTCAGATACACAATGAAAAACCCAGAAACTCTTAGAGCAGATTAATATGAAATTTCCTGCTTTGTTTCCTTTCTTACTGTATTGTGGCAGTAATGACATATGCAGTACACAGTTTGCTTGCTGATCATAACCCAGTATTGGCTCAGTATGTGCCTCAACTTTGGTTGCTTCTGACCAGGAGTTACTCAAAAATCTACTTGAGATGTGCTGGATAAGAAGGTTTGTCCCCTTACCAAAATAAGCTGTTTGACCAGGAATTGTCCATCTGGGAACACAGAGTAAATGAAACTCTGAACAAATTGAATAAGGCATAAGTATAGCCACGGTTTCTGGGGTTTTTCCATAGTAACTGGGATAGATGGAGGCACAATTAAGTATTAATTTTTTTTATAAGCTAGTTCTTTAAAAAATCTCTGTATCATTAAAAAGCTTAAAAACCCCATCCTAATAAAAATGTTTGTCTTCAGTTATGCAAATTTTATATTGCAAATTAAAATACCAAAAATACTTGACACTCTTTAGAGGGTTTTTGCTGCTGTCAGAGCAGGGTGCAGCTGTCACCTGCTCAGATGTGACCTGGTGCTATAAATCAGAGCAGTAAGAGTGAAGAGGCAGCAGTAACCTTCAGCAGGATGCATTACACAGTCCTTGGCTGGTGCAAGCTCTGAGAGATCAATTTTTAGTAATCAAGGCAGCCCACAAAGATCTTTGCTTTAGTTGTACCTGAATTACATTTATATAGACAATAATAGCTCCTGAATCTTGATTTTTAAATAACTTCAATATCAACGACTGTCTCCAAAACATGTCTTTTGAGGCACATTGTGATGGAAAAGGTAAGTGCCTCTACAAATGCAGGTACTGCCACTGAGAGGAAGAAGATGCTGGACCAGAGCTTCTTCAATCCTCATCCTTTGGGCTGCTCTGATTTACAGCAGGCACTGATAAATAATATGACCTTTACAGTGACGTCTCCCTGAGGTCACAAAATTTGCATTTCTGAGGATAATTTGCAAAAATTCTGGAGCAATTAGTAAAGGAAGTAAGGAATAGTCAGATGCTCCTTCCAGGGTCTGTACTTTCTCCACTGCTCAGAGATGCTTTGACCTTCTAGTTTATTACAAGTCAGGAAAAGTCAATATTTCTTAGCTTGCCAAGTTGTAGGAATTTTAATGAGTTATTGAGTCAAATAGTTAATCCTCAAATAACAGACTTTTTCAGATTTACAGTGATAAAAACAAAGGCGTAATGGGGACTAGGAAAATTGGGTATTTGTTAGAAACTCTTGCTTGTCTCTGTGCATATGCTTTTAACCCCTTGACCACAAGCAGATGCAATGGAACTTTAGCACTGGGACATTTTGTATTGGCATGAAATGCTGGGTAGGCAGGGGCTGTATTGATGTTAGCAGGGAATTTAACATGGTAAAATGGGATTGAAGTAGCTGGTACTGATGTTTCACACATCTCTTTTACATGTGATAAGGGCTATGGATGAGACCTGGTCTGTGCTCCTATGCTGAACTGTTTGGCTGCTGGAAAAATCTTTGAAGGGAAAAGCCCTGAGTGCACCTTAGAAGACGTTGTGGCACTCCAGTTGCTGTAGGATGTGTTCCACTGGGTGCTGCAGCACATCTGGAGTTGTGCTTGCACTTGAACATCCTCTGAGAGCTGTCACACACCAAAACCTTTCCAAGAGCCAAACCTGCATGTGGTAAATGTACAGAAAAGGGATTTGCTTCCAAACAACCTTGCTGGTCCAGACTGAGTCTCTGGCTGTTGGAAGGCTGTGCAAGGCAGGCAGTGGGTTTTTGCACAAAGAAAGGCTTATGCCTGGTATAATTATGCCTTTTGCAATTCCCCTTTGTAATGCTCAACTTGGTGAACTTCAATTAACATAGAATAATCTAATTTCCTAAAACTCTCTTCGTTGAGTGTAATGCTAATTACTGCTGAGTAGTGGCTTGTTTGGAAGTGCCCTGTCCTGCATGAATTATAGTAATGTTCTCTGTAAGCCTTGAAGTGAGGAAACTTCATAAGCAGAAAATGTTACAGCACAAGGGCAGCTTCCTTACCATTTTAAAATTATCAAACAGCACAGTAATATTCAGTATATCATATCCAGTGAATTCTTAAAAGTAATAGATATTTTTCACTGTATGTCATTACTCAGTGTAGGAATAGATATTGATGAGGGTTTTTACAATGACTAATGCTTTCCCTTACCATTCCCTTCAATAACATTCCTTTCAGTAATAGTCTTTCTTGGGCGTTATTTTTTCAAAAGCTCTCAGCAGTTGTTTCTCTGAGCTTTCCTTGAATCCTGTGTGAATTTTAGCCTGGAGGATATTCTGCTTCTGGGTGGGAGCTTCTGGCTCCCAGGGTGAGAGTTCAACTCTAAACATGAGCAGGAGCTGAGTGCTGACACTTAGGGCGCTTTGCTGAGTTTTGTGGCTGGAGTAGTGTAGGAATTGCTTTCTGAATGTAACTCATGGTCAAAGTGTGGGCACTGAAATGCTCTCACTGGGTTTATTCCAGGCTCTGCTTTCAAGAGCTAAAAGAACAAAGGGTCATGCATCCATGACTTTCCAATAAAGCACTTTGAGCACACGCTCAGTGTTGTGGTAAGGGAGAGCCGGAGCTCTGGGAGTGCAGGCCCGAGCACCTTCTTCAAGATGCTGCTGTTCAAAGGGCAACACATTTTGCCCCCAAAATCCTTGTTGCTCCTGTCAGGGCTGTACTGCTGTAGCAGCCTTGTGAGGTCTGTTGAGGCCAGTGTGGCTTACAGTGGCATTTTCTGCTCTTCCCAGTGCTGTACAGGCAGGACAGCCTGCACGCCTCCTGTGAGAAGAAGTACTGCGGCCGGGGCAGCAAGTGTGTGCTGAACAGGGACACAAACCAGCCCGAGTGCAGGTGTGTCGAGGACTGCAAATCCAGCTACATGCCTGTCTGTGGATCTGATGGCAGGTTCTATGAAAATCACTGTCAGCTGCATCAAGCCTCATGTCTGCAGAGGAAGAAAATCTACATTATCCATAGCAAGGACTGTTTCTTCAAAGGTAGGGCTTTGTTGAATGCCCATTATTTATTGAAAATAAGTGTTTCTGTAGAGTTTTCATTACTTGTCATAATCCTGGTAAATGGCTGAATGCTGTGTTTTATTTCTAAGAGCTAAATTTTTCAGGGATGATTTATTCCAGGACAGCAGAGAACATACACAATGTTTTATGCAGCTATTAAGCCCCTGAGTGCTATCACCATGCAAAATGTAATCATACTGGGAACTGGTAAATAATTAACATCACTGTATGTATTGTGTGCACTGCAGTTGTGCTGCTCAGTACTTTAGCTGCCAGTGTAATAACTTTTTACAATCCAATTCATTTGAAAAGGCTTTGAACAAGACAAAGGTGTTAAGAAAAAGTAGATGGTATAAACAAACATGCTGCAACATGGAGAAACGAAAACCTGGTTAGGCAAATTACACAGGCAAAGGAAAGGAGCTGTTTAAATGAAATAAGGAGTGAGACAGACTTCAAATAACTTTAAAGACAGTTCTGGTTACCAGTGGGATGCATACATTTGGAGCTCTTTTACTGGTTCAATAGCAAATTTCATTATCATCTTTGCACCAAAGCCAGTCCCGTGTCTTTCCCATTAATATTTTGTATGCCATGTACCATCCTGTCATCAAGGGAAACTGCAGGAGTAGGATCCATGTGATAAAATGTCAGGGAATGGAAGAAGTTGTAACTCTAATGAGTGGGCTCATAAAGGGCCTCACTAGAGTTTATCTTGAAAGCTCATTGTCAAATATGACTCTATACACCCACAGGAAGATTTGAGTAGGTTGTTGCAAGTATATCCAGTGACATTTACGTGATCAAATATGAAAATAATTCCTTTATATTCGGGTCACTTAAGCCCCAAGGAGATTGGCTGTATACAGAGCTATCCATCGTGAGTTCTTCTTTGCTAACAATGATGCTAGAAGAGACTATTTAAGAAACAGGAGGCCATTTGAAGAGTCTTAATTAATAAGACCTTGTGATACCCTTTGGAGAAAAAAAAGCAGTGCCATTCTTGTGTCTTGGAGAAGATCTTGTGTCTTTTTGTGACGGAAATTTTTCCAGCGTTGTGTAGGCGCTGCTTCACAGTGCGTTACAGAGTTTCATTTGTTTTGAAGATCTGGCTGTGGAGAGGACAACACAGCTTGTCAGAGCATTGATTAGGTGAAAACCCGGGGTTAGCTTGTCACAGGCAGCTTCTAAATTTATCAAAGCAGGTAATTAGGATCAATAGACCTTGTAGGAACTCAATCATGGAAAGGGGTCACCCAAAGGCATATTTCAAGTACATGAGCATATCAAGGCAAAGAGGGATTTTTTGCTTGTCACATTAAAAAGGAACATCTAAAAAGAACACTTCTGCTTTGCTCCAGCTGCTGTGCTCCTGCCCCTGGGTATCAAGTCAGATCGGGGTATGGAACAGGCTGGAAACAGTGTCTACTTTGAGTAAGGTGCAGGGGGGGCTCTGCAGGGTGAGAAACCTTGCAAAGAAAGGGAATGTTGTAATCTCAGAGATACTTAGGAACCCCCCACTCAATTCAGGGAATTTTTTTCCCCTGACTACCAAAAACAGTCCTTGAGTTTTTTCATTCTTGGCATCACCTGCCTTTTTATGACAGTGCGTCTGACCTGGGTTTTTATTTGCTCCTTATTGCACAGAGTGTTAAAGAAAATGAGTTTTTATTGCAGTAATCAGCCCCTGCAGTGGCTGTATTATGCCTAATGATACAATGTCATGCTTGAATACTTCCCTGAACACACCATGAGATGATGTCACAAAGTAGGAGTTTTGTGTACCCAGTTTGAAGTAACCCTCGAACTCTTGCCAGGGAGCACTGCTTTAATCTGCTTTTCAGCAGAATAACAGCTTTATGGAAGGGAAGAAAGAAACAAGCTCACTTCTGGTCTCACATGAATAAATAAAAATGTACTTCACACCTCTGTCTGCAGAGATAACATACAGAAAAAAGTTTATCTTAAGTGGGGAATAATCCCACGGAGTGGGACTCCATAAAAGTACATGGCTTCAGCCCATTTTTCTGCCATGCAGTTCCTGAGTAACCTTCTGTGTATTGCTCTGCTTCTGTTTATTGGTATTTTAGTCTCCTATTTCTAAATCAAGAATGATAGTGGTTTCTTTTAAATCCAAATTTTCAGTCAGCAATTAAGGTAGAGGTTTTTAAGCACCATTATAAGTGTAACATGGAATATAAGACTTTGACTGGGGAAAAACCTTTGAGGTGCAAAATCACAGAACCCCAAAATGGTTTGGGTTGGAAGTGACCTTAATGAGCCACCTGTTCTAACCCCATTGCTGTGCTCAGGTACACCTTCTGCTAGACCAGGTTGTTCAGGTGTACATCTAGCACTAAGCACATGTTTTCTGTTTGCTTTTGATCAAGTAGATAATTTAATTATTTGGCACAGTCAAACAAATGAGTGGGCTGCTTCATGTTTTTATTGTCCCTGTTTACTTGTTCAATTAAGACTTAAATTCCTGTGTAGAGCTGAGGGACACTGCAGACTGGATGTTTGTGTGTGCTATGCCAGTTTGCCCAGTTATCAGTGATAAACTGGATGTACTTAAGGTAAGACAAAGATCAAATACCCTGATTCTACTTTGGCTGAGCTAGGTCTATCCACAGTAAACTGATAATAGAGCAAACAACAGAGATTTGTTTTCTTTTGTTTATTTTAGGAAAGGATTTTTTTATCTTTTAGCATATTTATCAGATGTGAAGTGCTTTGTAAATACTAGAGTATAGCAGATACTTCTGTGTGAGTAGAAGCATTGCTCCATTTGGGCTATGTCAGCTACATCAGTAGCCCAAATCTGCATTCTGTAACAGCAATAGAATTAGGAAGAGCAGAGGATAACTTTTTCCTAGGAAAATGACTGATTTCTCCTTGGCCCAGCCTGGAATAAAATGGCTCTTTGAAATCCTGAGGGTCCAAAACATTGAAAAATTTAGTGGAAATGTGAATGAAGCAACAAGAGACCTCAGCAGGAGTGATCTCCACAAGCTTTGTCCTGCAGCCTCAGTTGCAGCACAGTTCCCCATACACAAAACTATAAATGCAGTCCCTTTTCCTCAGTTGATAAAGCAAATGATTAATAGGTGGGAAACTTCACTTGGGAGTTTGAAGTCACAAGAGAAATACTGTGAAGCAGAAGTACTAAACCTAAGAGATCTCAGGAGAAATGTCAATCCCACTCATAGGCATTCACAGTCTCCTTGATTTGGTTGTCTTTCCTGGTGTGAAATACAGTTTGGTTTTCCCACAGGAAAATGTTCTATTTAGGACTTTTCTACCATGTGGCAGGGTTTTTCCATTTTCTGTGTTTTCACTATTTTGTGAGCTTCTGTAGTCACTTGATTGGGGTGTTAGTGACTTTTACTGGGCAAGAAAATACATAAATATAAAAGTGCTTTTACTGTGTGCCAAACTGGTGAGAAAAGTTTTTCTTCACCAAAAGCTCTCCCAGTACTCATGAAGACTGGAAAAATAGCTCTGCTCATAATGACAATTGTCCCACAGATGTCCAGAATGAGCACTTGGCCTGAAAATGTTCCTATTGGAATAAATGCCTTGGATAATGAGGTTATATCATTTTAATATAGTATTTTGGACTATGCTTTGCTTTTTCATAGCAGTAATCCCCTTTTTTCCACTTCTATTCATTTTTCTTTCCTTTTGACCCACTCTGTCTCTTCCCTCACTTTTCTCTCATTATTTTTGGCCAGTGAAAGCTGTGCAGACACAGTTCAATAATTTTTCTTCCCTTACCTTCTTCCTCCAGAAACATCAGATCAATGCACTTCCCTAGCAGTTTGCATACATTATAAAAATTCCATTTAGAGATGTGCTTTTCCATTTTCAAGATTTAGGAGTAATTCTTTCCTTCTGTCCATCCTTCTGTCCTTCCTTCTCAGCAATCTCAAAGCTCCTGTGCATCACCAATTCATTGCTAGAGGAAGGCAGCCATTTTTGCTTGCCCAAGCTCATTCATTATTTTCTGTGGTTCTGACATCCTCTCTTTATCCAGGTGGATTGGTTTTTTATAAAAAGCTTGATTTTTCTTGCCAGCTTGTGCTGCAGGTGGTCATATTGAGTTTGTGCTCTGGCATGAATTCAATCCAACTTAGCTGACCAAAGTCTTGAACTTTCCACACTATACCTGTGCCAATTATTTAATATATTTTTTTGTTCATTCAGTCCAATTTGTTACCAAAACTCTAATTTTATGAAATGTGACAGAATTTTATGCAGAGAGACAGGATAGAGGTGTGCTATAAAAGCATATTCATGTCTGGTTTTCAGTCCCATTTCCTCCCTCCCTCCCCTTACACAAGGTCATTTCTTGTCCCATAAATTAAAATTTTATAAATTTATTTTGTACATAGACAAACACAGAGTTTCATAAGAAATCTCTGTGGAAAACCACCTCCCTTACTCCTTTCCATTACACACACAGTCCCACTGTTTGGTTTGAGGCTTACAGTGTTGTTTAGAACAATATTTCATGCCATGAATTTATATATAAAGGCTTCTGAAGTGTTCATGCCTGTGTGCTGGATTGCTGTGTGTGTGCACATGTGTGTTTACACATTGGCAGAGCCAAAACAAGGTGTTCTCTCAGGACATTTATGCACAGTGTAGTAGAGGATGGAACCTGGATCTTCATGGAGAGAGAGAATGAGAAGCAAAGGGCACAGCTGAAACAAGATGTTTCAATTTCCCTTGGAGATTGGTTGAGTGCTGGGACAGGCTGCCCAGGTGCCATCTCCATCTCTGGGAACAACCCTGAGCAACCTTGTCTGAACCTAAATGTTTTGATGGAAGCCTCTTCCAGCCCATATCATCCCATAATCTTATGATTTTGTGACTTTTTTCAGCTCCTCTATCTTTCCTCCAGTTTTCAAAAAGTTTTTTTTTCTAATTAAGGAAAATCTTCTGCATGTTGACAGAAAATTTTCTATGCTTGAATG